GGGGGGGGGGGGGGGGGGGCGGTGCAGGGGCTGGGAAGGAGGGCCAGACCCAGACTGGCCAGGGTGCGGCCATGCTCCGGGATGACTTCACAGCAAGGTCAGTGGGGGTGTTCCGTGTGCCCTCTGGGAGGGCAGTGCTGTCGGGTTCCCTCCCTGCGCCGCTCTGTCCCGTCACTTACAACCCTGGGCGCGTAGGACGTGCTCAGCAAATGTGTGTTGAATGAATGAGCGAACCGTGCGGTCGGTAACCAGCTAGAAGGGAAAACGTGTCACTGAATCGTGGAAACACTTCTCAGACACTGAGGGTGGTTCTGCACGCGGTCGGCCAGACGAAACAAAATATGGCAGCACATCGCGGGCAGCGGGGGCGGTGGGAAGGAGGGCGGTGAGGACGCGTCCGTGCAACGGAGAGGGCTGCGGGCTCCCGTGAAGGACTTCCGTGCGTGTTCGCACTAGCTCTCACTTGCCCGTCTTCCCATAACAGTAACGTGCTCTCCAGAAAGTTCCTCTCTGTCTTTGCACTTAATCCACGTAACACACGGTGCCGTCCCCACGCCAGCTTCTGTTGCCAGAGTGACCCAGCGTGGCCATAAAGCCTCGCGTCCCTCTGGACCCCGTCACTGGCTCAGGGAGAGACAGGGTCCTAATCCCAGCCGGCGAGGGCAGCCTGGAGATGCGGGCTGCAACTCCTGTGAAAGATTTCCTCTCCCGACAAGATCTCCTGCAGTCACCTTCTCAAGGAAGGGACCTGCTGGGGACACATCCAACAACAGAGAAGGCAGAGGCACTCTGCAGGGAAGCCAGGTCCTGTGAGGGCGCCCGAGAGCTCGAGTCCCGCCAGACCAGCCAGGCTTGCCCTGAACATTCCCGAACTTGGATCCCTTTTGTGCACAGCGGTCTGAGTTAGGCTTGGGATACCAGTCACCAAAGAAGTCCTCACTTACACATATGCTCTAGAGTCCAGACCGACCCGAGTGATCCCGAGGCTCATGCAGTCACCCCCAGAAACCCGGGGTCTCAAGGGCATCTCAAGCCGCACGGATGGAGGCACAGCTTAGGAGCCAGCAGACTTCAGCGGTCACGTCCGTCGTGAGTCCTGGGGTCTGGACATGATGGGAAATCCCACCCACAACGACTCCAGTTTAGAAAAAAAGATCAAAAAGTGTTGCTGGCTGATGTCATTGGGAAGTCCAGAGTCAGGGATAGTTTGGGGGGTTTTATTCAGATAAAATAAAACCTCTCAGAAGGTATCATGAGAACATTCCCACCCCTCCCTTCCTTTCTCTGTGTCTGTGTCTCTTTCTCTCTGTTTCTCTGTATCTCTCTGTATCTCTGTGTCTCTGTCTCTGTCTCTTTCTCTTTTCTGTCTCTGTCTCTGTTTCTCTGACTCTGTCTCTGTTTCTGTGTCTCTCTGTCTCTGTATCTCTTTCTCTGTTTCTCTGTATCTCTCTGTCTCTATATCTGTCACTCTCTGTACCTCTGTATTTCCTTTTCTCTTTGTCTCTTTCTCTGTATCTCTCTGTCTCTGTCTCTTTCTGTCTCTCTGTCCTTCTTTCTCTGCATCTGTCTCTGCCTCTGTCTCTCTGTCTCTTTCTGTCTCTCTCTCTCTGTCTCTCTGTCTCTGTCTCTCTCAACCCCCACCTGGAGACAGAGCTCGTCCTGTATGGCTTTGCTCCCAGAGGCCACCCTGTGGGAGGAGACAGGCGCCTCTTCGTGGCTCGAATCCCAGGCAGACCTTCTGGGCCCATCCTGGCACCTGCTTTCTTGGGACCCACCCAGGTGGTCCTCCTAATCCTTGAGCCCGGCCTGCAGCTCCGACCCCCCTACTGTCTGAAGCCTGATCATCCCAAAGTACATGATCCGCGGAGGAGAGGCGGGGAAGGGAGGCCCCAGGACAGCTCTGTGTGCTGTTGGCACAGAAGGGGAACGGGCTTTGTAGATGCGTCCGCCCTGCCACTGCGTGGGACTGGGCTTTGGGGGTGAGGGGATCTTAGGAATCCCCAAAGTGGTGCCATGGGCAGCTGGTCTATCACAGGCTGTGGGAAAAAAAGACGGATTTGCTGGAGTATCACCAAGATGTGGGCTGAGTTGTTCTTCTCCACTGTGGTTCTGGGCGTTTGCGAGCAGCTCCAAAGTGGACTGGCCGGTCCCTTGTGGGGACGGGGGACTCAGCCTCTCCGTCACAGCTGGACTCGCCACCTTGCAGTTTTTTCCCAGCTCAGGGTCCACCCTTGTGTGTCCAGCAGAGACGTGCCCGTTGGGAACAGGGCGTAACCTGGCCCGGCCCGTTCTCCCAGGGTTGGTCCCCGCAGAAGACGGCTACTGACCTCTGTCAGGGGAAGCGAGGGGCCAGACACTGAGCAAGCTTCGTGGACGAGCTGGAGGCCGGGAGAGTGGCCGGAGGGGCGGGGGCCCTCCACCCGGCCGTCGGTCCCCCCGGCACGGCGCTGGGTGTGCACCTGCTGCTTGGCTCCTCCCGGCGGGGGCTGTGGGCCTCAACAGAGGGAGCCACGGCTGGTACACAGCCCTGCAGGGCACTGCCGGGTTCGGTCACCGGGTTGCTCAGGGAGCCGCGAGCAGGAAGGCCCGCGTTAGTCCCGTCTTTACCCTCCGGCTGCGGTTCTGCTCTGCAGGGCAGCTCGGTTGTCTCTCTCCAAGACTGCAGCCAGATGGCCTCTAAGTATCCCTCGAAGGAACAGGCAGCAGCAGGGATTAAAGCTCCTCACGGTCTCTGCCGTCCCGCTGGAGATGGCTCCTGGGTCCCCTGCAGGGAGGAGCCGTCAGAAAGCAGCCCGACCTCTAACCCCGTCCCCCGCCAGGCTCGAGCGCGATCCTGTGCTGCCCTGGTTGGGGGGGACGCGCTGGTGTCCGTGACCTGGCCCCTCTTAGGCTCCTGGGCCCAGCGGGGTCTCGGAGCAGGTGGACCCCCCAGGACACCCCTCCGCCAGTCCACTTGTAGACGAGGCGTCTCCCACGTTGGGATGGAGTCTGTAGCTGCAGAGTGAGGTGAAGCCACCCGCGGGAGCCGGGGATGCACACGAAGGCGGGGCAGGAGAGGAATGATGGAAGACAGCCCGGAGGCGGTGGGCAGGGACTTGGGGGTCGTCTGGTGCTGTTGCTTCTCTCATCTCTTTCGACACCAAATAATGGTGTTCCTTGCCTGAAACTGACTTCCTTCCTAGCGTCAGCTTTTTGTGATTCCTTGATTGCAATTCGATGTTTGGGTTTATAGGAAGCATTTCCCTTCCCCATGCACAGGCCGGTCTCCTAGATTCCAACTGTTTTCCTCCGTGTCTATCAGTTTCTAATATACAACGCGCTCGGGGCGCCCTTGGCTTCCGCCTCGGGTCACGTGTAGGCAGCCCGTGTCGCGCCAATAATAACAGAAATAGCGTTTGAGTGTGTGTTGCTCAGTCCTTACACAGCAGCCCAGCGTCCACCCCTTTGATGCTCACAACAATGGTGTGAAAGAAGTATTATGTGTTTCTGAAATAAGGGAATCCAGAGAGAGGTGGCAGGATACACAGAGCAAAGAATGTACCATCTTAACGGTTTCTAGGCGTGCGGATGGGTGGTGTTAGGAGGCTCCCCGTGGCCGTCTCCGGACACGCCGCTCTGAACACGGCAGAATTTTGACACGTCTTCAGAAACCAAGATTCGTGGGGCCCGTTGCCATGGTACCCAAGACCCGCTCCCTCTCTGCCTCTATCACTCATCCGTCAGGACAGCGTTTGGCGGACGATTCCCGCCATGGGAGCCAGCCGGGAATGCCCACTCGTGTATTATTTCCGTGGCTGCTGTTGCGCTGCCGTGGCCGAGTTGAGTGGCAGTGAGGGAGCAGTAGGGCCGTAGGGCTGCAGGGCCTGGCGCCCTCAGCATCCGTTTGCTACAGAGAGGCTTACGGATCTCTGCTCAGGGGCTCCACGCAGGCCTCTCTTCCGCGGGCGATTACTCTCCGGGCGCCCTGAGACCCTGCGCTCCTGGCCAGAAATAACTCCTCCATGGATGGTTACCGTCCTTCCGGCAAGATGCCATGCTGTGGGATTGAGCGTGAACACCTCCCTGCGATGCTTTGTTAAAGCAAATATACCCCTGGGAGACGCTGTATGGATCAGTTTCCAGACATTTCCGGCAGAATGGACTTGCTGGGGTCACTTTCCTCCGTGATAGGAAAAATCAGGACAAGCCGAGATTCTGCCTTCTGGGGAGAGGGGGCAAGATGCGTCCGCGGTGGGGATCAGCCTGGCCCCACACCCCGGGTTAGCCTAGGACAGCGCCAGCCCCGTGGCAGACATCACCAGTAGAATTCGGCACGTGTTTCTGTTGTGCTGAGACATTGGCCCGGAAACCCCTCGCGACGCTGCCAGCGTGGGCATAAGAGACAACACCCCTTCGTCCTCCCAGACCGAGAAGGAAACCACATACCGCGAACCCCACTTGCGTAGAATGTACGTGAGGGGTCCCGGAGTGCGGAGACCAGGGATCACAAACCCAGCAGACTACAGATCCAGGAGATAACACGAGTGTGAAGAGCAGGGAGGGGTGGGGCCTGCGGCGGACTGGGGGGCGCAGCTGTGACTGCGTCCTACCTGACTCGCCTTGCGGAAAGAGCGCGCGGGGCTCTTGAGGGCGCAGGCCCTTAAGCCAGGTTGCCTGGATTTAAATCCTGGCCCCGATACTTCTAGATGAGAACCAGCG